ACCAAAACAGATATTTGATAATATTGTATCCAATCTAAGTTTACTTAATATATACATGTAAATTAGATTGAAGGGGAATGTAGAAAATACTGTAATAAATTAGGTATTTCTTATTCTCTATTCTGTTATACAAAGTAGAATATTCCCAGTAGGTGAGGTGGCACGGTAACAATAGAAATCTGTTATCCCCCTTCCTCACATTCCGGAAAAGATGCCAATTTTCTTCTATAAAAAAGCACCCTTTGGTGCCTGAAAGAAATAAGAGAGAAAAAAGGTGAATTTCTTCACAAAACTCTTCACTTCTATATATATATATATATTGGGCTTGAAAGGCTTCAGGTAACTGATACTGGACAGACTCAACATATTCTGGGTGGCATCTAATTCACTCACCTGGAACAAGGGTTACAGACCTTTTCGGTTTTGTCTATCCTTCTTCGTTAAAGTATATTAATAATCTTTAAGAGGAAATTATTTCAAAAAAAAAAAAAAAGAAAATCTTGAAGAGGAAATAAAAAGACTATTTCCTGATATCTCAGGTGATTGTTGCTTGAAGAGAAAACTTCTAAAAATAACATATTACCTATCAAGATACTATTCCTGAACCTGTTCTTTGAATATTGTCACAATGCTGACCTGATCTTTTCTTGCAATGCATGTTTCAGCTCTGCAGAACTGCTGAAGAACACCCAGAAATACTATTCTTGAAAGTCAATTTTGATGAGAACAAGCCTATGTGCAAAAGTTTGAATGTCAAGGTGCTTCCTTATTTCCACTTTTATCGTGGGGCCCATGGACAACTTGAATCTTTCTCATGTTCACTAGCAAAGGTGGGTACTTTATGGTCTTTATACCTCCCTCCTACAAGCCTGCTGGGATTTGTTAATACTTACTTTAAAACCTCGGGGTTATTCTACAATGAACATTGATAAGTTAGAGAAAACAGCTGTGTTTAAGTTGGTTGGAGACAAGGTAGAATGTCATGATTGTATTAGAACTACATGCCTCCATTGGCCTATTCGAACAGTATTCATCAAAAGGACCTTTATTGACCTGTTGAATAAGAAATTCAACAAGCGGACTATTGAAATCTTTTTTCTTTTGTTTCTTTAATGTAAATTTATCTTAGCTTATATGCATGTAATACTCATAGATAAGATTTGGGGCTTAGCTTGTTATACATCTGATTCTTTTCCAAATTATCTGCAGTTTCAGAAAATAAAAGATGCAATTGAAATGCACAACACAGAACATTGCAGTAGGAGTCCACCAAAGGGGGTTGGAGATCTAAGTCTTGAATCTGTCTCTGCTCCAGTTGACAAACTATCTGGGTCAACTGAAACGTAAAATTAAGCATTTATCCTTTGACATTGAGTACCATATATATCTCAGCTAATGATCTTCCACTGTTAGATATCAACAACTAATTTGTGATTATGTTGGTATTTTCCAGTAAAAGAATAGCTAGCAGTTATGGTTGCATTCTTTTTAAATTCTGTGCAGGCGCGTGATGTATTTAGCTTCAGACCTCGACTGGAAATGAAATTTCTTTTTCTCAATGTTTAAGTATCTAGATTTTTGCTTTCTGGAATCCTCTATGGAGTACTGATTAAGACGATGTTCTGTAAAGAATATTTTATTGGTGCCTGATATGTTGGATCTTCAGAGTGGGAGTTTCATTCATGGTGCATGTAAGAGGAGGAGCAAGAAAAAAGTGTCAATTATTGGGTTTCTTTTGAGATAAAAGTTAGTAGTGATATAAATAAGACACCAAGGGGGCATAACTCATGTACAAGAAAAAAAAAAAATTTACAGATCTTTAAGTATATCTACAATGGTATCTAGATTATCAAAAAAATTAAGGTTGTGGCAAAAAACAGTGGAGCCAAAAAAATGAAGCCACTCATCCTTGATAATAGCAAAATTAGATTCTTTGCTTTCAAAAATCCTACAATTCCTTTCTTTCCAAATAATCTAAAGATTTGTTAGGGGAATAACTCTAAGTTATCTATTGTTCATTTTGATGCCTTCCCAACCAAGTAACTCAGCCTTTAACAGACCCAGAAATGACTCAGAAAAATACTAAACAATTGTAATCATTGTTCAAAGTTCGTAGAAGAATGGGCACCAAAGGAGAAGATGGTTGTACGACTCCATATTCTGTTTACACATAGTACACCAGTTAGCCAAAACAATTCCTCTTTTCATGAGATTATCAAGCTTTAAGAATAGCACCCATAGCAGCTTCCCAAGCAAAGCCAGAAATTCTAGGTGGAACGAGAGAGTTCCAAATAATTTTATAGGAGAAGTCAAATGTAGAAGCATTGTTGTCCGTCAAATTCCTGTATAGAGACTTAATAGAAAAGGAGTCTTTCTTGCATGAATTCTAGCTTAATTTAGCAGTTTTAGTGCCACTTTTGATAGTAGACAGTAGACGAAACAGGTTTTCATATTCCACCGCTTCCCAATCTTTCAAAACCCCATAGGCATTTTCAATGAGCATAGTTCTGACTCTAGCAATAGTATAAATATAAGGAAATTGGTTTCGAAAACTCATTTGACCACACCAAACATCCTGCCAGAAACGTATCTTATCACCTTTCCCAAACACCAACTTGGAGTTGTTAAGAACAAGCATACTAGAATTCCAAACGCTCTTCCAAAGACTAAGGCCGAATGGACTCTTGTCCATAGTAGCAAGATTATACACATCACTGTCAAACTATTTACTTACAATAACTTTCTTCTAAAGACTGTTTTTGTCATTCCAAAACCTCAAAGTCAACTTTTTATGTAAATCCTTGTGGAGGCCAGTAATGGATTTGAGGCCAATACCACCAATTTGTAATTTTTTTCAATTATTTCCAGTTTACCAAGTGAAACTTTTTATTTAAATCATCATCCTCCTAAAAGAAGCGATATTGGATGGATTCAAGACGTTTAACAATTTTTTTGAGTATAGTGAGCACTGAAAGATAATAGATAGGAAGATTAGACAATATATTTTTTATGAGTCAATCTTCCATCTTTGGATAAATATTTACTTTTCCAGTAAACCGACATGTTTTGAAAGGTATTAATAATTGGCTCCCGAAAAATGTTGTCTTTATAGTTGGCACCAAGAGAAAAACCCAAATATTTTAAGGGAAGATGAGCAAATTTATAGCCAAGTATATTAGTAAGAAAATCATCATAATCAGAATTTTTTCCAAGCATAATTAATTTAGATTTTCCATGTTGATTTTAAGACTAGATACTGCCTGAAAACATAAGATGCATAATATTTCTGACATTAGCTTGACAAAAGAAGAAAGTGTCATCTGAAAAGAATAAATGAGAAAATTCTGTTTGCTGACTATTTTTGACCACAAGAATGCCCCTCTAACATTCCTAAGGATCGAGCTTGCAATATAAGTTTATTTTGTGCTTCTATGTCAATGATAAATAATAAAGGGGAGAGGGGGTTACCTCACCTTAAGTCTTTAGAAGCCTTAAAGAATTTTGACAAGCCTCCATTGATCATCACAGCAAAATAAGTTTGTTATAATACATTCCTTGAATCTAGCATTTCTATTTGATTCCAAACCCAAACTTCTCAAGCATATGATCAATAAAATCCCAAGAGATATGGTCAAAAGCTTTCTCCATGTCTAGCTTACATAAAACGCTTTTTTTTTTTTTAATTTCTTATAACATCATCAACTATTTTATTGCCATAAGAAAAATATCTGTAATTTGACGTCCATAGACAAAAGCTTGTTGGTTATTCCCAATGATCGAACCCATGATTTCAAACAATCTATTCGCCAACACTTTTGAGAGGAGCTTATAAATACAACTAACCAAACTAATTGGGCAGAAATCCTTAATGTTAGAAGCATTTTTCTTTTCTAGAATCAAAACCATAAATGTGGAATTAATAGATTTGACAAATGAGGAATTCATAT